AGGAGATTAATAGAAACAATGTATGGATTCTCACCCTACCTTCTTGCTGATTTACATTATGCTATGTAGTTGAAACAACAGGGGAAAAAGCAAAGGCTCTCATATGATTAATGACGAAATACCAAACCTCTTGTTACTGTTGATTGCATATTCACAACAACACACTTGGGAAAATGACTAAAGAAGCACTTTCTATTCTTTTCTTTTTTGTGTCCTATATCCTTTGCATGTGGGTCATTTCAGGAACTCAAATTTATTTTTTATGATAAACATTGTTTCTCAGAATATGCAGTTTTTTTAAGGAAACCTTTTTCCTGCTGAAAATTGTGTATTCCATCTTCTTCGCTCTATTAGGGAGATTTCCTGGCCTATCATAAAATGTTAAGGTTTGGCAATGTTTATTTCACAGACTCATCAAAGAGACTTTTAGGGCCGGGAAGAAATCTTAAGGATTATACAGTTCAGCTCCCTCACTTTATAGACAAGAACACAGAGGTTGAGTTGCCCCGCCTGAGACGTTGCCTTCTGGTTCACCACGTCTCACAGGGCAAACAAAATTCTTTAAAGAGGAGAAAGCATTGCCAAGGTAACAAAACCACTGCGTGCGAAAATGGAAGGATGGATGACAGAGAAAGATGAACACCCTTCCTCTGTACAAACAGATAAATGAAACAGAGACCACGTCAGATGGCCAGAAACAAACAAAAGCAATAAGAAGGGCCATTTTTTTCTACCTTTTCAGCAGCTTGATGTTTTGGCTGAGTGGGGGAAGGACACTGCTACATTCACAGGAATAAAAAAAAGGGAATATGATATCAGTGAGCAGCTTGCTTCACTCCATTCTCTCCCCTCTGCTCTTCCCTGCCCTCACGTGGCCTCTCTCTATGGGGGACAGTTATCCCATGTTCTTTAGCTTCAAAATTCATATATATAAAATATCTTTTCTCAAGGCCAATACTACTGCAAGCTGTAGACAAACTACCAATTGCTAAGGATTTTTAACATGTTAAATATGCTGATTTACAAGGCATATTTACAGATAGATAAACACTGGGTCCTCCTGGATAACTGGTCCCATGTTATCTACCTATTGAAGTCAGTATTCAGTAATTCATGCTATTTTATCCAAACTGAAAAAAATTAATCACCTTTAGAATACATCTTTGTTACAACCCTTCCATGCCCTTCTCTCCTTCTGTTCTATCACCAAGATCCTATATTATCTGGATTGAAGAAGTAGAGAAAAGAAATTGGAGGAATAATGCCATCCAACAGTTTTGGCAAACTTAATATATTTCAGAGAACTTTCAAATATAACCTTTCATTTTTATCCTCACAAATAATCCTTTGAGATAGTATCATTCTCCATTTCACAGACTAAAAAATTGGATTCTACACACAGCTAAGTAGAAGGATTTGGGGGAAGAAGGCGGAATCATAGACCTGGAAGGCATCTAGTTCAGTCTTCTCAATTTGAAAATAAAATATTTGTGGTCTAGAGAGGTTCAGCAGGTTCCCCAAGGTTATGTGATCTAGGTTTAGTGTTAGGATGTAATCTCCCATCTGCTGATTTCCAGCCTGCAGCTTTTGTCGCCATGGTGCTCCCTCTCACACCAGCAAAGAAGTGTTGGAGCGGGTGATGATATTCATTAACAGATGCTAGGCAGCACAGTTTCGATTTGCACCCCCCCCATGCTCCACCCCATCTAAATATTTATACTTCAGGTCATGTGAGAAATAACACAAAATGATTCTTGAGTGTGAACATTTAGTGGTCAAACTGAGCTGGCACTATTCAACTGGTAGAAAAATACTTTCAAAGTGTAGGAAAAAGCTCCTCCTATTCTCAGTGTTCTCTCTTAGTTTGGTCAGCATCCATTGACTTCTACTCTTATTCTGTGATGTTATTGGATTGTTTTCTTTGTCTGTTAACACTCATTGAGCACCTTCTCCTGGCCAGAAAAACTACCCTTCTCCAAGGTCTGTGAGTATTCCTCCATCTCTCTCGTGATTCTATGATGTTTCTGATATCCTGTCACCCTAGAAACAGGGAATCCTTTATGAGGGACTGCCCTATTCATCAATTTATATTAACAAAAAGACCAAAAGAGGGGTACACATTTCTACAGGGGATTTTCGTGAGTCAAGAAAGTGGTGGTCCGTCATACGAGCTCCAGGACCTCTTTCCACATCACCTAGTCAGGCTTTGTAACACATGGAGTTTACAGCAAGAGAATAAGTATGAAGCTCCCATAATAGAGAAGAACCCTGAACCCCTCTTTTAACTTGTTCTCTGTCGTGGAAACTGCAAATTAGTGCCTCCTTCATTCTGGATGAGAATCTCTGAGCTTTTTCATTTCACCTTTCTCTCATCCCTCTCTTACCTTTATTTTTTTACAATATTCTCCATTCTTTTCCTTCTCTCTTCCTTCAGCCCCTCTCTTCTACACCATCCCATATTTTTCTGTGTGCTGTTCTATCTGCAGCATGATAAAAGCATATACTAAAAGAAACACAACATTTTCCAGATTGTTTTCCGTACTGCTTTTCCTTCAAGGGCCACATGAATTGCTGCTTCTCTCCTTCTATCTCAGTGTTTATTCCATTTTCTCAACATTTATGGTTTGTACCACTCCCTTGGCACTGCTCAAATGTGGTCTCTTATTAATTATTATTTGTCTGTTGATGTCTCTGTCCTGTTTTCCTAACAAGATGATGAATTCCTTTCTGGAAGACAGAAACATAACGTCTTCAGTATCTAGCAAAGTATCCTAAACAGAGTCTAGTATAGCTTATTCTTAGTATGAACCTGTTTGTTTTGAAGACCTAAAGAGTGGTTTGAATTGAACTGTGCTAGATATTATAAATAAATTGTATCTGGAAACCACACTCCCAATGTTCCATGTTACTTTCTAATTTATGTATGCAAAAAACAAAAATCATTCAGGCAAGAGCTTCCATTACAAATATTATAAACTCTGTATAGTTGAATGATTTCAGGAGAGGCAGAGTTATAATTTCCCTTCATATAGTTTACATAAATTCTTTTCATAGAGAGCAAGTTGCACCTTCTCATGCAAATGAAGAAATTATCATGGCTTAGGCAGGCTTTGATAATAATAATAACTACTGACACCCTACTGTGTACCAGGCACTGTGCTTAGTATCTAATAATCTTATGTAATGCTAAAAACTTTAATAAATACTGTTGTTTTCTGCATGTAAAGAAACTGGGCTTTAGCAAATTTAAACAATTGACCCAATATCACACAGCTAGTAAATTTTGGAACCAGAATTAAAGCAGTTTAATCTTACATTTTTTCCCTTTTTTAAATTTTTCCAGTGTATTATAAGGGTAAAAATGTTAAGGTTACATATATTTCCCTTGTCCCCCCCTAGTCAGAGCTTCAAGCCTGTCCATCCCCCAGTTGGTGCACATCTCACTCATTATGTATGTATATACCCATCTTCTCCTCCCACCTGCCCGACACCCTATAGATGTTATTCCTATATGTCCACTTATGTGTTGATCGGTTATGTGTTGATAACACATGTGTTGATAAGTTATGTATTGATCAGTTAATATCAATTTGCTGGTGAGTACATGTGGTGCTTATTTTTCCATTCTTGGGATACTTAACTTAATAGAATGGGTTCCAGCTCTATCCAGGAATATACAAGAGGTGCTATATCACGGTTGTTTCTTATAGCTGAATAGTACTCCATGGTATAAATATACCACATTTTATTAATCCAGTCAAGTATTGATGGGCACTTGGGTTGTTTCCACATCTTTGCCATTGTGTATTGTGCTGCTATAAACATTCGAGTGCAGGTATCTTTTTCATAGAGTGACTTTTGTTCTTTTGGGTAGATAGGAACTTAAAAATATGTAATGGTGATCATAAAATACTTTCCTAAACTCTTCCCAGTTATATTTTTATGTAGCTGTATATTGTTAGACTATATGTTGCAAAATCCATAATCATATGAAGTTGTAATGCTATAATGTTGAATATTATTATCTTCAAATACAAAATAATTTTGGCATTATACAAAAAATCATTATAACTAGGGCTTCTATAATCTGTTATATTAGTCACCTAGATTGTTATATTAAACCTATGAGTTTGGTGTTACTATATTATTATAATATACATGGTATTGTAAAACTTGCAATAGATTATAATAAACATTATAATGGAATCTAGTATTCCTTGGAAGTTTTTCCACATCCTTTCCATTTGCAGATGAAAAGATATCACTTTATAATATATCACTAAATAATGTGCTATTTATATAATATTTTTAAATACTACAAAGACATCATAGTGGTTACAGTCCCTGCAAATCATGTCTTTTCACGCAGTTCATTAGCATTGGTTATATTTATATGTCTAATGTATTCTGTTCAATGAGAATTTGATGCAATTATTTTTGAAGTCTTGAAATGAATGCTCAAGGATTATTGATCTGAATCGCATCAACTAATGGTTTAATCAACAGGTCACCTACAAACAGCAATGTGAATTCAATTGATATACTGCTGTGCTTGCATTGCAAAATGATTTATTTCTTGCCCAGACATAATTATAAAACTGTAAGAGATGTTCAATCATATATTGGACTTTTCTAAGAATTTCATTAGACTTTGTATTTTAACATTAATTGAAATGTTCTAGAGAATAACCTACATAGAACCAAATTTGAGTATAGCTGTGGTGCATATAAAACAAGGAGATTTAATCTTGTTAGTATAAATACCATAAATTACTGGCTTGGGGACCTATAGTTGTGTTTTCATATGCCTAGAATCCATTTAGTAAATTCCATTTTCTAATTCACTTAATGGATGCATAGCACTCTCAAAAAATTAATTGTTAACAGGTCTAAAACATTAACAATTTATACTATTATGCCATTATCTTAATTTTATTGAAGAAAACCCTATTGCAATTTTATGGCTCTTTGATTAATGCAGTATTTCTTTTTTAATGCAGGCAAATGGTTTAACTATGGAATTATCTTTCTTGTCTTGATTTTGGATCTCAATATGTGGAAGAACCAAATATTTTATAAACCTCACGAATATGGACAGTATATTGGCCCAGGACAGAAGATATACACAGTGAAAGACTCAGAAAGTTTAAAGGATTTGAACAGAACCAAGCTCTCCTGGGAATGGAGGTCCAATCACACTAACCCTCGGACTAATAAAACATATGTGGAGGGAGACATGTTCTTACACAGCAGGTTCATAGGGGCTAGCCTTGATGTCAAGTGCCTGGCTTTTGTTCCAAGTCTTTTAGCCTTTGTGTGGTTTGGATTCTTCATTTGGTTCTTTGGACGGTTTTTGAAAAATGAGCAAGGCATGGAGAATCAAGACAAAACTTACACTCGCATGAAAAGAAAATCCCCATCAGAACACAGCAAAGACATGGGAATCACTCGAGAAAACACCCAGGCCTCAGTGGAAGACCCCTTGAATGACCCCCCTTTGGTTTGCATCAGGTCTGACTTCAACGAGATCGTCTACAAGTCTTCCCACCTAACCTCAGAAAATTTGAGCTCGCACTTGAATGAATCTACCAGTACAACAGAAGCTGATCAAGACCCGACGATTTCTAAAAGTACACCTACGAACTAGACTCACTGACTTGGACAGAGCACAAAAAGCAACTTTGAGTGTAACTTTAGTCTTTCCTTTTGTAAATGTAAGGTTTACGTAGTGTTAGGTAAAGAAATACAAACAATGCCACAACGGTGCTCAACATGCTTTTTCTAGGACTCATTGTTTTCTATTTGTATTATTATACACGTGCCTACTGTATATTTTACAATCCTCTAGAGATTGCTTTCCACAATTGCACAAGCTATTTATTTACTGACTTTACAGCATAGTAGATAAGCTGATTATTCATGTATTTGATGTTCAACCATAGTGGTGCCTTGAGACATTAAACTTTTTAACTGTACCAGAAATGAAGTGTGGAACAGTTCTCTAACCTATTTCCCATGGTTTGTTTTTTTTTTTTTTTCTTTTTGGTATACAATTATTTTGATGTACACCTGATGTCTAAGCAGGAAACAGATATAGCTAAGACCTGACTCAGGATCTCTTGGTTTCTTATTCAGCAGCAGAGTTGGTGACTTTGACAGCTGGACTGCAGAAAAACATGGTGATTGCCTTTTAATATTTATTGGCTGTCTTCCAAATACAGATACAGATGCAAAATTCAGTGATAAAAGAACTATAACCCAACATGGGTCACTACCCATGAAATGTGACTTTCTCCAACCAGTAATTGCAATTAGGTGATAATACCTAATTATGTTTTCCTAATTAAGGATAAATTGCTACTTGATTAAAAATCCTACCCTTCACCTTTGGGAACAAAGGTTAAGAGGCACAGTTGGGTGAACTCTCAAATTTATTGGCATTTACACAAAGCCCTAGACAACCGAGGAACTGAAGTTTAATCATGTGAGAGTTGCACAGCCCACCATCTACAATATTTGTACATCTTTCTGCAAATATGGCTCTGGAAAGTGAAAATTGAAAAACATATGCCAAGCCTGAGCAAGGGAACTCCTCTAAAAATCATGCAGCAGAATCTTGTCAGGTAGAAAAAGGTGTGCATGAAAGAATCTGTTTAGTGTCTTGTTTTGTGTGTGTATGTGTGTGTATTTTTGTTTTTTTAAGAACTAAATATTATACATAAATAAATAAGAATTCTACATCAGTAATTATGTGATGTAGCTTTTGTTTAGGGGATTCAATTGCATCTTAGCATAATAAGAGTCCATTTAAATGGGGTTTTTAAAGCTTGATGCCAGGCAAGTTAAAAAATGGAATACTACCAACTTACTGTTAATTTTGTTCCATAAATTATGGTTACGTTTCTTGAGGGAATGAGGGGAGATCACTTTTAAGGCAAAATTACTTTCCTGTCACATACTGACATAGCTGCATTTTGTCTTTATGATTTTTTTAAATCTCTCTTGTTTTGATCTATCTGCTTTTAAGCTTGCAGCATAGCATGCATAATAGAACTATGCATTTATCTGTCACTTGAGAGCCAGCTTTAATAAACATCTTTCTACAATTGTTTACTAAGCAGCTGGAACCTTGCCCCTGCTGTTTCTTTTGCCTTTAATAGCCATGCTACTAGAATCATAAACATCTCTGACACTAAAATGCAGAGATCAAGCTCACTACAGTAACCATTGACCATACTACCTGAAGAAACTTACCATGTCATCCCCGACATGCAGCAATGTTGGTCCTTACTAAATTTTCAAACCCTCAGACATTCAACTTTCAGCTCTAGGACAAGGAACTAATATTACCTGGCACCATATTTTTATTTATCCTGAAACTTATTATCTTGTAGAATGAAAAAAGAAGCTGATTAGAAAGTAGGTGTTTATTATTAGTATGAATTCCTTATAAAATATTATTTGAGAATTTTTGTGTGGGTATTAAAGGAAAGATATTTTAATGAGAGAATCTAACTAGCCGAAGTAAGGAAAAAATAACAAACCTAGGGCACCATGCTTATGTGTTTTTAAGGATTAACTAGAGAAACTGACTATCAACTAATATGTATTTAGTTTCCATAAAATTAGTACCAAATAGAATAATTTCCAGAGATTACATTTTAACAGTCAAATAAGATTTCAGCCTTCTACAGGCTTCTACTATTCAATTTTATATTGACTTTTTAAATCTACATTTGGATCTTGTTTCTTCTTTTGCTACCTCTTTTGGATATTGCATTCATACCAAGTAAAGATACTGAAAAAAAATAAAATCAAAGTCAAAATCAAACCCATTCATGTTTAGTCTTGGATCCAGAGCCATATACCAATAGACTATGACTATGACTCTACAGAGCTTTTGAATACCAAATCTTCTGGAGTACTAAAAGCAGAAAAAAAAAAAACAAAACATGTGTAAGAAAAATTGAAGCATTAGAAAAAGGATTAAAAATCACTAACCACATATTCTAAAGAAAGCTTAACAAATGTGATGTCTTAATTGCAGTGATGCTTAAAGACTATAAATAATTATATTTCTACTGTTTAGTAATTACAGTATTTTCTTCCATGCAGTGAAGACTTTGTACTAATTTGACACGCTTTTAGTATCCTACATTTACAGAGTACTTCATTAGTACTTTAAATAGAAAATTAAATAAACACTATGAATTTATGCCTGATAATATACACATAGACATAAATCTCATCACCACATGCCCATTTGTATTATATAATCATAAGTACCCCATTTTCTCCCCATGGTGACTACCTATCATGTCACCTTATCTTTTAGCACATCTAACATCAACATTAACAATGTTAAGTATTATTTCTTCTCCATTTGCCCTAAGACTCAATCAGGCACAAAAATCTTTTATTTTTATAGCATCAGATTTTGAAACAAGTAGTATCTAAAAGCAGACATTTCGACTTACATATTGATTGACAGTACAGTGCAAAAAAGTCCAGTTAGACACTCAGCTTTGAAAGTGGGGGTCAATATATCCCATCTCACCACTGTGTTCCATAAGCAATTCTGTTACATTAGTTGGTCACCAACAAAATGCAATATAAAACATGAGAAATGTATTGCTAGTAAATCACTTTTAGCTGTCCCTATAACTGATAGCTCATGATGACAACTGGATTTTCTGACATTCATCCAAGACCTTGGTACCTTACTATTGCTTATCATTTATCTGTCCTCACTCTGAACTGATCTCTATTTTAAATTTAAACTCTTGGTTATGCAACCACAACCTGGGTATTGTGCTTATATTGGCTTTTCCCTCTGAGCCTGTGACCTGGCTCACTACTCTATCTGGCCCGATTTCCTCTAGCTTTGTCTCACAGAACCCAACTCTGACCTATTGGCCAGCCCTACATTTAAGAGTGCAAGAACAACTCAATTAGTTCTGCGGCAGATAAACTGGCACTTTCTCATTTATCCCTATGTAGACTTTTAAACATGCTTGTGTGCTTAGGGTTGTAATTAATGAGAACCAATATATAAAAGAGAATCAAGCTCATAAATGTTTGGCTTACTACCGTTTAGACTGGACTAGAACCATATTATCATTTGAACAGCCAGAGAAATTCAGATGTAGTATTTGTAATTCACAAGTCACTCTTGTTGAAGATAACTAGAAAAAGAAGTGGATATTTATAATAAAAAGAGAAAGCCAGATGGTGGCGAACAAGTGGAGTTACTATGATGAGATCTTAGAGATAAAAATGGCAAATTTGTTATAAATAGGCCATAAAACTGCAGCGAGGGAATCGAGGCCCCTGTAAAGGGAACTTCAACATAAAGTTCTCATGAGTCCCCCCACTCTGTGTGTTAGTTAGGGGACTCAAAAAGACATGTTCCCCATAGTGGAGGGTATGACATGAGAGGTTGGTTGGTTGGTTTCTTAAACATTCTAAGGTCAACCAGCCTGAGCAAGAGTGAGACCCCATCTCTACCAAAAATAGAAGGAAGTTAATTGGCCAACTAACAATATATAGAAAAAATTAGCCGGGCATGGTGGCGCATGCCTGTAGTCTCAGCTACTCAGGAGGCTGAGGCAGAAGGATCGCTTGAACACAGGAGTTTGAAGTTGCTGTGAGCTAGGCTGACGCCATGGCACTCTAGCCTGGGTAACAGAGTGAGCCTCTGTCTCAAAAAAAAAAAAACATTCTAAGGTCAAAGTTACTTTCTGTCTGCCACAAGAAGTAGAGCAAGACATGGGAGAGGAGAAATGGTTCCTGTGAAACCAACTACAGGGGTAGGGGTGTGAGAAGTGGACAACATGAGAAGAGAAAGACAAAAATCAACACAATTCAGAGAGACTTGCTGGAAGAACAGACATGGGGCTTGTAAACACATTATCAGCTTATTAATGCTGACATCTTGTAAACAAAAATATCTCGCAAGTGCTTTGTGATCGAGATTCTGAACAATTTTAGTGAGAAGCAAAATTGAAAACTACTATTACTAATTTGGTATGGGTAATATAGCCCTGATGATATTGTAATTTAGTATGAGGTATCAATTATTTTACTTCAGTGAGTATAAAATACTTGTATTTCATAGGTTTATTTCTTACCTCTATCCTCCAACATGATTTTTCATAGGTCTTAGTTCCTTAACACCAAATACTACATAATTGAGAAGGACTGCTATAATTTATAATTGAGAATTACAGTAACAAAACCAATTTATAGATGCTCCTTTCTCTCATAAGTTTTTTCACTCCATCCAGATTTTGCTCAATCCTCATATTAATACTACTACCTTTTTAAGTATTTCCTATGTAGAAATAAATTAATCCCGTTTAATACTCACATTAACTATTGAAGGTAAGCATAGTTAACACATTAACTGCCATGTGAGTTGTAGTTAACTCACACTAGTTTTGAGCCCAGGGCCTTGTGAAGCACATGTAACACACGTTTCTTCACTTTGGGAGCCACAAGAACTATTTTTAAAGTTGCATATAATTTACACACAGAAAACAATAAAAAATAACTTTTTTATTAAATTGGAGAGGATCGTTTTGTTTTCAAAATTTTTATTTTGTTTTCCTAATACAACATTGTGGTCCCAAGGAAAAAAAATTTTTTTCTAATGTGGCAGTCAATGTGTTCATTTAACTATACTCTGTGTTCACTATAAATAACCCAAACACCTCCTGTTAGGCTCCACCTCCAACATTGGGAATCAAATTTCAACATAAAGTTTGGAGGGGTCAAATATCCAAACCATAACACTAACCAAGGAAGAGTTAAGATTTGAATCCAGGTTTGTCTGACACCCAAATCTTCTAATTTTTCATTATAATCATTCATAAACATCTATCTAAACTAGAATATCTATGTCAAACAGGACCTTTGGTAAGGATAACCCGGGAAACAGTTGAAAACCATAAGGTGCTTGACTTCTAGCAAGTCTTATCTCTCAAAAACCTAAGTTAAATATTAATTTCTAACAGCTGTCTGGATGCAATTTACAAGTTAAAGCATATGATTCAAACAGATAAGGTCGAATTAAATGGCAAATGCAGTCGGTTCATCGCCAGGTGTTTTGATTTAAGCTATATTTACAAAACCACAACACAGGTTTGTCCCAATACAATATCTAGCATTAGAATTGGTTTCTTTTATGACTTTGCTTTCCTTGGCTGGAACGCTGCATGTTTTGAACACACCCCTAGGAAAATGTCAAAGGTAGAATATTCAAACAAGAACAGAAATGATTAGCTGATGGCCAGTGCTAGGAAGCATAATTTGAATATGGGCTCTAGAAACAATATTTTGAAGTGTCAATCAAAAATTTATTGTTTTAAAAAATCCTTATCAAGGTGTCAAGCCCTGGCTGTGATGATGTGTCCCTTGAACATGATGAGCTTTATTCTCAACCTCCGAATGGGGATATATCACAGGGTTTTGAAGAAGACCAAATAAGACTGTGTATGTGAAGGCATTCAGTGAGCTGCAGCCAGCCATGCAGCTGTGACTGTCACAGGTGCAAGATTCAGTCCCCTCCAGCACCCAGCTTTCAACAGAGCCTGCTTGCCTTGCTCCAAGTTAATGCTGCCATTGGACATAGGCCGTTTGCTCCCAATTTTCTCTGTTGTTTTGAACTCTACAAGCGGCAATGTAATCCCTTTTCACTTTTAACAGACGTTCAGATCCCCTAGTTTAAAGTAAGTGGCTA